ATGTGCAGTTAATAAGTGCAATAAATATTTATACTGGAAAAGAGAATCGTGATCTCAATTCTAAGACAAAAAAATCGTGCAGCCCTACTTTAAAATATTTCAGCATTCTTATGCTCTATTGTAAAAACTTGTGTCCTTCAGATTAGCAGAAGAACAGTGTGTAGAGAGCTTGATGGAAATAGTTATGCATCATGAAAGTAGCCGCATCCAAGTCTTACAGCACCAAGCGCAATGCAAAGTGTCGGATGCAGTTGTGTAAAGCACGGCGCCACTGCACTCTAGAGGAACAGAGTCATGTTCTGTGGACGAGTCTGGGTTTGGTGTTTGGGTTTACTTTGTGCCAAGTATAAAGTATAAAGTTTGTTTTTGAGGGGTTTGAGGGAGCCCCTTAGTTCCAGTGAAAAGAACTCTTAATGCTTCAGGATATCAAAACATTTTTGGCAATTTTATGCTCCCAACTTTGAGGGAACACTTCTGGGATGGCCCTCTTTTTGTTCCAACATGATTGCGCACCATTGCACAAAGCAAGGTCCATAAAGACACAGATGATCGAGTGTGGTATGGAAGAGAACTTGACTGGCCTGCACAGAGTCCTGACCTCAACCTAATAAAACACCGTTGGGATGAATCAGAGCAGAGAATGGGAGCCCGGCCTTCTCATCCAAAATCAGTGCCTAACCTCACAAAGGTGCTTCCTGAAGAACGCTCAAAAATTCCCATAAACAAACTCCTAAACCTTGTGGAAAGCTGTTATGGTACCAAACTGACAGGATATTAAACTCTTTGCATTAAGATTGGAGTGTGCATGGGAAAGCAGACGAGTGGAGACTTTTGTCAATTTAATGTATATTTAGTGACGTTTACATCTGCACATTCTGTACACTCGTGTCTTTCCGTACTAACGTGCATGTTTTTCTTGACATCCAGTGGAGACGAGCTTCTGCCGTCGACTGAATGGCGCCTACCGTCTCCGTCAGCTGGTGCCCACGGCCGTGTACACACACATGAAGATGCACAAGAGGATCCTGGGACACTTGTCGTCCGTGTACTGCGTGACCTTCGACAGGACGGGGCGACGCATCTTCACCGTAAGTTTTCCCACACGCGTTTTTGTTCGACGTTGCGTCGACATTAGCTTGTGAACGAGAGCCCGTTCGAGTCTAATTTCTCGTGGCTGCTGCGCGACTGTGTTTGTTTAGAGTCACGTCTCGCACTCTGTGTTAGATTGTTACAAGGTGCCGCTCGCTCACCAAGACGCACAAGCATCTGCGTTTCACGCTGTAACGGTTCTGCTAGGCGGTAATTACTGTTTACCTAACTGTGGTAGGACGCTTTTACTCAGTGACTCACTGCTATAACCTGTTGGGTTATACGTCGGGAAAAACTCAGACAGCTGTGCGATGATAATAGTCACGGGTAATGAAGTGAAAGCATTTATCTCAAAAGAAGTAAGCTGACCTTTGCCCCCTGGGTGCCCGTTGTATACATTTGCCGCATGCCTTTTCCACCTAGTTTGAGAGAGGTACAGCTTCTGGTAACGTGTTAAATGGTGAAGGAACAATGAGACAATGTTGATTTAATGTCGCCGTCCTTGTGTTTGGAATCTTGAGTCAAACACTGCCTGCTGTTCTACACCATTTTCAGCTTTCACTTCTTAAATCTCTAAAAATGGCTGGCTGCTGAGAGGAGGAGGAGGAGGAGGAGGAGGAGGGGGTTAGATTGAGTCTCTCTGTGTCTTTTTTCCTGTTATCTCTCTTTCTCTCCCCCCGTCCTCATGCTATGCTGCCCCTCCTTTGTTCCTTTCTCTTCCTCCCTCCCCCCCACTCTTCATCTTGCTATTTCTCATCATAACTGGAGAAAATGTTTCCTCTGAGGCGCTGGCTAAGTGCCAGAATTAAAATTCATTCTTGCTCTCCCTCACTTTCTCTTTCTCTCTTTTTTCCCCCCTCTCTCTCTCTCCGCTACTTTTTCCCCTCCTTTTATCACGAGATCATTTTTATTTATATATGTTCTTATTTTTAGATCTCGTCAGTCCTTTTGCTCAGGCTCTTATGCTGTTTCAGGCATATTAATTGATTGTTTTGTGCGCCCTAAAGATTCGCGGGGATCGTTGTGTTCGGTGAACAAGTGCACGCGAGTTTGGTCCAACAACAGCTTTGCAGTCAGTTATATCGATTTGCATAACATAATTTTAAAAACAGCCAATTCTTGTGGTCGCTTGAAAAGACAAATCGAGAACAGTTGGTTTGTGCTGGTTGTCCTTGTGACTGTGGTTAAAATCTTATCTGTAGTTGTGAGGAAACAGGGAGGATTGCACTTTGCTCTTAAATCTATGGTGGTGCAGACGGCGTGGCAGGTCTCCCAAAATGCTTTGTAGTTATAAAAGGTCAAGACTTTCGGGGCAACCAATACGTCAGCTGATACTTAACATACAGCACTGTGTTAGTTATTTTATAAAGCGTTATAATTTTTAAAAAAGGTTTCAGGTGCATGTTGGAGCACATAAAATGAAACACTGTCATTAACAGCGTCTGATCCTCAAAAATTCTTATTTTAAAGTGAAGAAGTTTAATTTTCTGAAGCGTTACATCCTGAAATCGCTGGCTTTTTAAAACAAGTGGATTTGTGTTTGTGTGTCTTTCGCGTCTTCATCACGGTTACCTGTTACTTAAATCATTTTGAGCTCTTAACTAAAAAACAGATGGATCTGGCAACATGTTGAATCATGAGCATTTTAACCGTCAGCGAGTTGGATCGCAGTCAGGCACTCTCCACAAAGGTGGTTTCACGATTGAAGACTCGATCGTGCACTTTGATTGCAGACTTATGAGTGTTTAAGGAGAATCTGAGCTAACAATTCAATTCAATT